CAGGGTGGGGGTGGGGCTGTGGCTGCTGTTGGTGGGCACTGGCGGTGGCGGCGGAGGCTGCTGCTGGAGCGGCGGCGGCGGCTAGGGCAGAGCGAGCGCGGGTGTGGAGAGGGAGGAAGAGGCGCAAGAAAGGACAGAGGAACAGGAGAGAGTGATGGCTCTATTTCTGCTTAAAATGGAAAAGGTTACATTATCCTCTATATTTATAGTCCCTAGAGGACTTGGATCCCAAGCAAATTAGAGGAGTCCTTATAGATTTGGACTATCCTTTCCGATCTCATTTTTAAACAAACTCTATTTCTATTTATTCTAATCTTATCCAAAACTCCCTCTAGTCTTATCAAAACTCCCTCTAGCCCCTTCTACTTTGGACTCTTCTGGGTGGGCGGGGATCGTCGGCGCGGTGGGTGCTGCCTCACCCTGGTCACGCGCGCTGCATCCCTGGCGGTGTGCTAGGCTAGGGTGCAGCTAGCCTGGGCCCCCTCCGGTCTCGCTTGGCCCAGTTGGGCGGCCCAAATTTAGGCGGGTGACAAGGAGCTGGAGTAGCCCTGATCGGTGCCCAATTGAGCAGTTACAATTGTTGATTTCTCAACTTCTTTTTTTCATCCCTGTAACTTAGCTGTACTGTTCGATTGCTTTCTATTAAATGAAAAGGCGGAGCACCTACCCATTATGCAAAAAATCTTTGAAAAGTTCAATAAATTTAAAGAACATCTATATGCTTACAAAAGGCACACTGCAAAAAAAAAAGAGGAATATAAGAATTTGGAACAAAGAACAAGGACCTAGAGGCTTTTAATTTTGTGAAGGATTTGTTGGTATTTTTTGACTGTATGTTTCTAAAAGTACTCTACTCTTTTCCGAGTAGTAGCTATACATCAACAGCTTAAAAGTTTCTTCCTTGACTATGGAATTAATATGTTTCGGCTTTGTTCATGTATACTTGTGCAAAAGATATGCACTACTCAGTCCTATTGCCTAATATATGCAATTTACTGGTGAGTTCCTTTTATTTATGCCATTTATTCTATGTTGATGCAATGTGCATAACATTTGAAATTATAAATCCAAATAATAAAAGCCAAATTTTGCTTAGGGACACCGTTCAAAGGTGTAATATGCCGCAAGACACCACCAACTCGTTAATTGTTCCAGTACCATTATGAAATGCATGTTTTTGTTGTTGGACACTACAACCAATATTTTAATCTATTCCACGACTTGGGAGAGAGAAGTTTTCCAAAATGACGCTTGAAGCCACTGAGTCAGGCTGGCCCGTTGACCTGGTCGAGCCCGACTCGCCTTCTTAGCCGAGCATCCGCGACACTTCCGCTCTACCGTTGTCACCACTGCGCTCGTTCACTCACCGATGCTAGCATGTGGGACCAGCTCATCATCCGGTACTTGGCGTGTGGATGGAGGCATGAAGATGGCGTCACAGGCAAAAGTGAAGCGCTTCCACCCAAGCGTAGATTCACCTTCGTAGACCGAGTCGAACTTTCCTGAGCATGAAACGGTGGCTTGAATCAAATTCGTGGGCTACAAAGCGGAAACTAATGGAATTCGCAACTCGTCTCCTCCCTAACTCATCTCGAGTCCGCCCAACATCCGCTCTGCGCTCGCCTCTCCCATGGCGATTAGGGTTTCTAACATCGCTGCCTCCATCGCTTCCATTCTCCTCCACTTCCTATCAGATCCTCTCATGCCCTCTCGCACTCGGTTTCTCTCCCACCACCAATTGTTCAGGAGAATCGCTACTTGGCCTCGCAGTCCAGAAGGCAGCGCCATAACATACTCCACACACTGTGCAGCGTCCGGCAACACGCTCTGCTCCACTCTGATTTTTTCAAGCCCCATCTCTCTCCATAGTCTTCTTATCCATTTGCATTTGAAAAACAGGTGAGCTCCATCTTCATCAAATCTCTGGCACAGCCCACACCGTGTGTCCAACTCCATGCCCCTTCTCCTTAAGTTACATTTCAAGGCCAAAGAATTGTTTGCAAGCCGTCAGAAAAAGTGTTTAAATCTATTCGGACACTGAATTTTCCAAAATTCTCCCCATAAGCCACCTCTCTCAGCTGATGTACTCGAAGAAGCACCTCCCTGCACGCTCCCCCGCTCCTCTTTAGCACACTGTACCCAATATGACTTAACATAGAATAGGCCCTTCGGATCATACTGCCACGGAGCATAATCTTTGGGTGTACCAGCAACAGCAAGCCACCTCGGTTCACTATGGCTCGTTATTCGTTAACCTCGGCTTGCCTCTCTGCTTGTTAAAAAGACAAACTAAAACTATAAACTCAGCTCAGCTCAACTCGTTTAGATCAGGAGCCGGCTCGACTATTGCTCTAGTTTTTTTATAAAAAAAACTACAGTACAAATCAGTTCTAGTTCTAGACTTTAATCTCATGCATACATCATAACGCCAAGCTTAAAATTATCGAATGTATGTGTCTAGAGTTTAAGACTGATGTACTATAAAGTTTTTGGCTTTTGCCAAGTAAATTTGGTAGCTAGATCATTAGGTTAACAAGTAAAAATTATGCTAGTTCGGCTTGTTAGAACAAGGAAATAAACCAAGCCGAGCTAGTCCCAAGCCGAGCGAGCTAATAGCCAATGTTTTTGGTTGCTCTAATGAAATCTCCTAGACCCACGTAGTATATCCTGAAAAAAGGAAGATGAATTAACAATCATTCCCACTCTCTGTGCTGAAAGACATGTCTCTTCGACGACCATATTATCTGCCAAAGACAATTGTTCAAGCCAACTTTAATTTTGATGAGATCACTCCATGTTTCTTTGACGAACATGTTACCTGTATTAGACAATCGTTTATGGCTACTTTAATCTCGATGAGACCACCCCTAGAACTGTATCCATTGGAAGAGACATGTTTGACAACAGCACTCTATCCTGCTTCCGTCCTTCCGTCCATGCAACTGGAATTGCATGGTGCGTAAGTTATTATACGCACGCACAGGTGCAGCCATGCAGGCCTGGCGGAAGCAGCCAACAAAACACGCCCCAATGTCGTAAAAAAAAACACGCCACAAACCTTTCGGGGCATCGGCAGGCTCATTGTTCTTGAACAGACCCCGGAAGAAATGGCAGCTGATCCAGGCGTCACTGAAGCAGCCGCACAGTTACAGAAAAAAAAAAAGGCAATTCCACACAGTACTTTGGCATTTCAGTTTTAAGACCCCAGAAAACTTGGTGCCAGAACATAGATTCAGACAAGTAATCACGCAAGATCGGATCACCACAGCGTTTACAGGAATGTCACGTCGGAAATTATATGAACCAGATTCAGCAAAAAAGATAAATTACCTTTGCAACGTTGACACAACATCCTTCAATTTCCAACAGCAAAACCCCCCAAAAAATGACAAGCAATACTTGGATTTTGAACAAAATAGCGCTAACCTCACCAGACCAACACGACGAGAACTGCACCCAATGATTATTCCCCCAAAGCGACTTCGTTTGGTCTAGGCACCACAATCCAAATCTAGGCACCACAATCCAAATCCTGACAGTATAATCCTCACAGTATAACATAAGGTAACGATAAAGATAATCTTCAGGAAGCTAAACACTAGAACCCAGAAAAGGCCCAAGATTGAACTAACGAACATAGAGTAAAAACAAGTGCGACCAAAAAAGTCTGACATCAAAACATCACACACCAGTCTTTCAGATTACTGGAAATGGTTACCTCACTACCGCAACACAACAAAGTTTCTGTAATGATATAGAAATAGCTGGATGATAATAGAAATTACGTCAGCCTACATCCTGAAATGCTGTGGTCTAAGGGCAAAATGAGCTATGAGACATAATAGTTCATTGCTTATTGACAAGGATCTTCTGTCCATGTTTTCTAAAGAATTTATAATGGGACCTTGCCAACAATCACAAAAAACACGGTACTTTCTAAATGTGAGTATACGTATTACTACAGGCACCTATTTTTTTAACTTTTTGATGCGAACATCAGCCACTGGCAACGTTCCCTAATGTTTCTTCTGCCTCCAGACTGCTGTTCATCTTCTCCCAGTTCTGCTACCTACCGCCCACCACATCAGGTTTCTCGCCACTGTCTCCCGACACGCTAATCCCATGTCTACCGTCTCGCCATCTAACACCCCCCCCCCCAACCCAACAACCTCTGGCCTGTATACCACCCCAGTCCCATTTAAGTCCAGCAGCCATGAAACCCCTTCCCAGAAATCGATCTCCCCTAACTCCGGCCAATGATGCAAATCTCATCTGAACTATAAAAATGTGCTTCTAAATACCCGTCGGCAACCATACATAACCATTAGGTTTATTCAAAAAATCATGCAGTTCTAGAACACTTAAGACACAGGAGTCAAGCAAAGAGTTCATTGCCAAACACAGCATTCACTATTAACACACAGCTCTTAATCATCTACAGCATGGTCAAATAATGTTAGAGCAAACAAGGAATGCCCTCAAAGCATAAGAGTCCAGACAAAAGAAAAGGAGCAAAGGAATCCTGATATACAAAACAGAAATGGACCAGCAATAACAAAGTCACAATGGTCGATTCCTAAAAGTTTGCTTCATAACTAAATCAAGCCCCAGAAACGGACAAGACACCTTCGCTGACAATTTATTCTATGACAAGACGTGAATGGCTCATGTATTCATTCTATCGAGAACAAACATTGTGCAATTATAATTCAGCAAGAAAGATACCACAATCCATGCATCGACTATCAAATTTGGTCCTCAGTCACTGCAACACTGCATATATAATAAGGTAACAAGGGTTCTTCACTTAGCAAAGCAATGCAGTATGGAATCCTGAGTACACCACAGTAGTACCAATTCTCTTAACATCACCAAAATCTTAATAAAAGCATCATGGCATCACTTGCTAGCTTACAGAAACACTGAAACAATGACAAAACAAAAGGAAGATAGCTCTTAGACCCTAGAGTTCCGACGCAGGAACCGGCCCATCCCCACGCTCAGAAGCCGAGCTTGGTGCGGCGCCAGTGCCTGCGCTTGGCGTTGTACCTGAAACAGCACAGAACGCAGCAGCTGGGTCAGCAACAGCCGAATCCAGATCGGACGAGCGGGAGTTAGAGGGGTCGCGGTCGTCACCTGATGGTGTTGTCGGTGCGCATGCGGATCCAGTAGGGGATGGGGCGGTTCTGGCGCATCTTCTTCGCTAGCTTCTTCTTGATCCGGAAGGTCTTGTGCGACGGCTGCGCGAACAAAGAAGCAAACCAGCAACCACGTCAGAGAAACACCGAAATCAAGGCGGCACAGGCCATCCCCATGGGAAAAGAGGGCTAGGGCGAGGCGGTTACCATCGTTGCGGCTGAGACGAAGAAGCGGCAGCGGCAGCGGCAGCGGCGGCGGCGCGAAAACCCTAGGAGCGTGAAGGGACCAAGTGGCGGACGGCGGGGATTATATAGTGGAAGGAAGCGAGAGGCACGATATTGGGGTGGGCACGTTGGGCTCATGGGCTGGTCGGCCGAAGCTTGCCTGTTGCAGGGCAATGTAATGGGCTGTATATGGCATTCAGCCTGTAAAGCTTTAAACAGGCTGGATAGGACGGAGAATAGTTTGGGCCTGATGCCCTGATTGAAATTGGATCAAAGTTTTCTTTTTTCTTTTTTTTTAAAAAAAAAGGGATGTATCTTCGGCACCCGATCATGAAGATCAAAGCATGTATGTATTTTAAAGTTCAATTTTTGTAATTGCCGGTGAATATAGATGCTAGCTTTATGATCGATAAAGAGGTCCCAAAAACAAGATCTCACTCGATAGGGAGTAGTCACGCGGGGCATGCCCTATGTTCTGGCCGGAGCTTAATCTGCATATTAGAGGTGTGTTTGGGTGTCGGGCACTGCTGGCCACGCCTAAAGTGCGGCATGGTGTGGTGCGCCGCACCCGTGGGATAGATTTATAGTGGCACGCTTCATGGTGAGGTTTTTCACTACAAGATTGTGTGTCTGCCTCGACTGCATAAGCATCCAATCATATTCTTGTGGCTCGCCACTTCTGTGGCGTGACAGTGTGTGGTTTCAATCAAATAAGTGGCAGACCGACCCAATAAATCTGGTGTGTGTTTGCTGACAGCAGGCATTCCATCCCATTTAATGTCCCTGGTCTAGGCGCGGGCGCGATAAGGAGTAAGGGCTCTAAATAAGTCATCTACTTATAAGTTAAAAGGTGAAATAAGTGACTTATTTTGTTAATCACCACCGACTTATAAGTCACCTCTGTTTATAAGTTTTAAGTTGGTTCACCCCTGCTTAAAACTTATAAGTCACTCTTTTTCGAGTGGGGTCCACATCTTTAATAAGTTTATAAATCATCTACAACCAAACATACATGATTTATAAATCACTGGTTTTCAGTCACCTGACTTAATAAGTCATTTGACTTATAGAAACCAAACATGCCCTAATGCCAAAACTCCCAAGCTCCTCCCAGGGTCCTGACCGCCAACTAGGCCCGTAATCCGATGCAGGATTGCTTGAGCGGATGCCCTGGTTGAACATGTCATATTTGGTTGGGAGGTTAGGCCTCGAGGACCAATCCATGGTTAGAGGGTGCTGAGTCATGGCCCACGGCGAGTGGGACCCTGGTCCAGTGACACCCACAATAATCTTTGACCAACAATTAATTTAGTCATATGAAAAGCTTGTGCCACAAAAGTAATTTTGCATCGTATTTGTGTTTAAAAATACACTCCAGCAATTAAGTTTTGTTGTCACAAATAATATATTACACAAAAGCTTAGCGTCTAAAGTATGATTTTGAAGACCACACTAACTTAAATCGTGTCATATATTTTGGGATGGATGTCTAGTTGAATAGGCTACTTTGGAAATTATGATTCGCTTTACATTTATTCTAAGCTAAACTTCTCTAAATAAAACATGTGTTTAGAAAATTTTACATTAATAACATCTACATTAGTATATTGAATGGAGAATTTGGTGAAACCAATTTGATGTTATTAATGTTGATGCACTTTACAAAAAGCTATAGTGACAAATACTCCGTAGCTTTGAACGGTGAGAGTACTATGTAGCCATTGTAGTTATTACTATGTAGTACTCCGTAGGAGATAGATATTCACCAGACATCCTACCATTGGACTATTGGTACTCATAAAGATCACGATTGTAAATATCTTTTGATGGTTGACGCCGTGTTTAGTTCCAAATTTTTTTTTCCAAAAAGTGCTGCAGTACCTATCACATCAAATCTTACGATACGTGCATGGAGTATTAAATGTAGACGAAAAAAAATTGCACAGTTTGGTTGGAAATTACGAGACGAACGTTTTGAGCCTAATTAATCTATAATTGAACACTAATTGCCAAATAAAAACAAAAATGCTACGGTAACCCAAATTCCAAAATTCTCTCAACTAAACACGCGCTGATTCCATTCCCATCGGGTTCATGGCACCAGCGCTTCTGTCAATTTGGCAGTTAAATAACAACCGTCATCGTACGTACCAGCACTAGATCCTCCGTGCTACAAACGTTCCAAGTCTAAGCCGCGATTACCGGGGCCGTCCAAAGTCCAGATCTCTCACCTGAGCTACGGGCTACGGCTACGTAATAATCAAAGCCGATCACGGCTCTTTTTTTTTGTAATACTAAACAACAACAACGAAACAGAAACGTCCCTCTCAAGCACAGCTCGAGACCTCCTCCGACGATCCAATCCAACCTCCAAAGCAAGCAAGCAAGCAAGCAAAAACGCGTCGTCGTGAAGACTGAAGACTGGGGATGATGCATGCATCAGGCACAGAGAAAGCAGCACCTGATGATGCAGGACGCCAGAATCCTACGAGACATCGTCGGCACCCTACGAATTGAACGTCGCGGTCACGGACATGGAGGTCATCCCGTGGCCACATGGGGATTCTGGAAGCTGTCTCGCGCTCGCCAGTCGCCGCCGGCCGGAGCCCAGCCGTTCGATCGGAGCAGCTGGATGTCGACGACGACGACCAGGACCAGGAGCTGGAGCTCCGTCTCCGTTCATGAACCGACCGGGATTTCCTGAATACCGACAGGCCACAGGCGACAGTGGCGGCAGCGGCGTTTCGTCTGCTGAGCATTCCGCGTGTCCGCGAGAGAGCTCCCAATGATTGACATGATTAGCCCTGGAACAGTGCTTCGTTTTCTCGCGATGGTTGGTCATCTCATCCCGTCTGTGTTAAGCTGCCCAGATATGAATGAGATAACAGGTCGCGATCACCCCATCATGGCCACATGGGCGTTTTACGTGCTGTCTGCCATGATCCATGGAGCCCGCCCGCCACCTGCCATGCTTGCTTTGCACTTTAATTTCAATTCATCAGCGATCTGTCTTTGGATGAGGCAAGGCAGGTTTATCCCGAATTTCATCAGGATCTGAATATCTGATGCACCATCAGGTGCAGCTTTCTTGGTTCGTGCTGGCTGTGCAATCAGCTGGAAGGAACTTCAGCTAGCTGGATCAGTCGCCTGAAATACAGCGGGAAGAAAGTGCGGCACCACGACGCAAGAAAACAAAAGCAGAAATGGCGAGGGGGAATTTGACTGACATTTTCCTGAATCGATCCAGCCACGGGTTGCTGTCAAGTTCAACGAGCTAATGGCATCCTAAGATCTTGTCCCAATCATTACATGTCATCCCGGGTCAAATAAGATCCCACGAAACGCGGATCGCCGGGGGGCGAGGGCTAATGACTGCGTTTGGCCGGCGCAAAAACCAATTGCCAATCATCCATATGATCAGTGTTTTTTTCACATCCTCTTGACTCCTGCAAGCTACTAGTAACTGAGTAGTACTAACAACTACTCCCTGCTAGACAATGACGTGGAAACTACGTACAAAACTATCTTCAAATCCGCGTTAAGCTGTTTCTTTCTCATGCATGGCCATGTTTGCAAGGCCAAGAGCTTTTCCGGAAACCGGGAAATAACGTCCATCAGGCCATCAACTTGCCGATACTTTTACCGTCAGAATTCAGGAAATGTCCTTGTACCTAGCTCACGTTCGGACATTACTGTCCACTGCGGATTGGATATGCTGGTTGGAACTCGTAGCTGACAGTAACATGTCATGTCAGGCTCATGGTTTGGGGCCGTGGTTTCAGCCTTCAGGCTTTAGGGCTGCAGCTGCAGCTTGTGCGTGCAGCAGCCTTCGTTAGCGACCTGGTTGTTTCAGTTTCAGGCTCACCCAGAGATTCCATAACGATGCAGGAAAACTCTGCAGGCTAGCTAATTGGTTGCTACAGGCATTGGAGATAAGGTTTGCAACTGGGATAGATTGACGCAACGCGAGGACCATTTAACAAGTGCCTAACAGGACAAGAAGGCTCTGCAAGAACGACTGACCTGGTCTGTCCACGTTTACAGCTACGGAGCTGGTATCTGCATCCTACCTACACAGTGGCTAGGATTTTAGCTACAAGTTCCGATCGAAATCCTTTTGTGACGCAATGCAATCGTGCGTCTGTACTCTACTCCCACTTGTAGTTTCAGAACTCACAAGCTGTCAAGAGTGTCGATCCAGACGGGACTGCAGAGCATGCTTGTTGCCGATGGCGATAGAGGAGAAAGGAAATGTACTGGTTTTTACCACTCCATTTCACTCCAGCAGAAATCGCTCTGAATTGAGTTTTTACCATTTCACTAGCAGCAAATGATTTGAAGCTTTGAACAAGTCCAGACTCCAAAGCCGACACGAGTTCACGACCAGGTTTCTGCCGCTCCAGTCCTTCAGCGGGGCAGCAGGCCATCATGGCTCATTAGCCATGGCCACTGCGCCTGCGCGCGGCCATGCATGCATATGCGCTCCATTCCACGCAGCTCCAGAGACCGTTTGCGCTGCGCAGCGAGCCAGCGAGGAACATCTACTCGTATCTATCCGTCAGTCGTAGGCGGTAGCTGAGCCTACTCTGCGGCACAGCACTGCGCGGGCGTAGGGACTGCGTGCGCTGACGAAGCCGATGGGCGCGCGCGTCGCATGCGCACACAGCTCGCGCGCGCGTTCCTCGCTTTCATTCGCACTTGCACGCACACCAATCCAATCCCCCTGCACTGCAACCTGCCACTGCAATGGTCGCGCCCTGAGCCTGAACGCCGCATGGCATGCGTTGCTCTTCTTCCCAAGGCCGCCGTGGAAGTTGGCGCTGCCTCTGGGCCGCCTGCCGGCCTGCTAGGGTCGCCACGCTCGTCGGCTCCATCGCCGCCGGCCCCGCCCGGCCGGTGAACAAGCTGCTGCTGCTGGGCACGCCAACCTGCGACACCGCGCAGCGGCAACATTAAAACACGCACAGGGACCAACACGTCCTCTT